GTTTGGGGTGAAGTCTAGAGAAAACTTTTTTTTTCTGAGCAAGGTCACAAAATACTTTTATATTATTTAGGACACTCATGTAGGATTACACAGAACAGTTCTTTGATGCCAGCAGTATAAAAATGTTCAAAGATTGCTCCACCTTTTTAGAGTTAGTACTACAAATTCCTTTCCTCCCCAGATACGCTAGCATCATTTCCAAAAGTTAATCTTTCAGTGCAGATTACAAAACCCTTTTCATTGACTCATTCTTACTCTGATAAAGATAGATCTCTCCTCCCATGTTCCAAGAAAACTTTTTGTCTTAAAATAAGAATAAATTGCATCTCTTTATTTAGAATCCTGAAATTTTTGTAAAAGCTTCTCCCATCCTTATTTTCTTATTCTTTAATTTTAATCCTTTTTAGGTGAAAGTGCTTTCCTGGGTTATCAGGTTCTACTTACGTGGTTTTATAATTCACTACCGTTAATCCAGCTTCTTCAGCACCTCTGAATCAGACTCTACCCCAGCCCTCTCCTATGCTTTCCTCTTTTGGGAGGGTTCTCAGGATATACAGGACTATCACGGCATTGGCAGCACACCTGGTCTACCTATAGGAGATGAAAAAAGTAATCAAGGGAAGCACTTCTCTTCAGGAAATTCTTTAAAAAGTAGACCTACTGTGCCTTGATCCTTTTCACTCTACTCTGGGGCTAAAGGGAGGGCCTTAAATTTGCTTTTGAGTGAAATTAGCACCATGAAATGAATCACAACCTAGTGTGCATAAGTTAAAGGGCATGGGTTTCAAAACGTAAAAGACCAAAGTTTAAAGCCCCACTTTGCCACCTGCTAGTGATTTGATTTGGGGGAAGTCAATCTCTAATAGGCTTATTTTAGTCACCTGTTAAATGGGGATAATGTTGCCTCTCGAGGCTATTATGAGCATCTCCTGTGATGCATAGAGAGGACTTAGCTAGGCACACAGTAAGGCCTTAGTAAATATAGCCATTTTATTATCTACTCTCTCTTAAACTCTTTGGCTACTAGTACCCCAAACCTCAACAGAGTGAGCTGTGTCCAGAAACTGAATCCCTAGATTCAACAATTCAAAAAAAAAAAATTTGTAAACAATAACTCTCCAAGCAAAATTAGTGACCCTGTACTGCTCACCTTCTGTTCTTTCTCTTTCTTCTAGTCCAGAATAGTTTAGTCATGTATGAACACTTCTAACACAGTGGCTATTACATTTGCCCCATTTTAGAATTTTCTAGGCCTATTGTTTCTACTTCCTGGAGAGGTTTCTCTCTTGTAGCCACATTTGATCTCACAAGAAACCACCCTCAAAGGATTTCTGAGTTCAGCTTTCAAGAGCTTATGAGAACTAACATTTTCCTTTTCCCTCTGCCCCCTGTGTTTCTGGTTTTCATTTGCTTAGGGTTTAGCAACTAGAGAAGGCCCCCTTAAGGTTCACAAATGGAGGCTCTACAGGAATCTTTGTGTGTGTTTATATTATTGAGGCTTTTCATGGTTCTTGTGACTCTGAAGGCACAATAGATATTCCTTATCACCAGGGCTTTTCCACCTTGTAACACTAAATGCACTTGCGTGCTTTCCATGCCGCTATAAAAGTATAGGCTGGCTTTTAGAATGCCAGCTTAAGGAGACGGTCTTCTCTACGTCTGTCATGTGAAGAGATGACACTATTGAATCTGAGGTTCATCGTCCTCTTTATCTCCATCACAGCTTTGACTAAAAGATCAAAATCTGCTTTGCAAGCTGATCTCATTCCCCCCTGATTTTCCGATACTACTTTCCAAATCCTGAGCCACATTTCTCTCTGCATACGAATTCTTTTCTACTGCCTGCTTTTCCCACAGTCTGTGAGTAAGTATAATCCTTCAAAATCAAACCGTTACAGGTGTCTTTTCAACAAAAAGCGCTGGGGCAATTCATATGCAAAAAAAAAAAAAAAATGAACCTTTCACACTGTTCACAAAAATCAACTCCAAGAGCACCATAGACCTAAATGTTAGAGCTAAGACCACCATTAAGGAAATGAAAAGACAAGGCACAGAATGGAAGAAAATATTTGTGAAACGAGTATCTGATAAAGGACTTGTATTCGAGTTATATAAAGAACTCTTACAACTTAATAAGAAAACAACCAGATTTTGAAAATGTGTAAAAAAATTAAGCTTATACTTATCACATGACTCAGTAATTCCACTCCTAGATATTTACACAAGAGAAATGAAACATAATGTCCATACCAAGACTTGTATGTGAATGATCACAGAAGCATTATTTATCAAAGCTCCAAACTGGAAACAATTAAAATGTTTATCAACTGGTAAGCAGATAAACAAAATGTAGTATAGTCCTACAGTGCAATTCTACTCAGCAATAAACATGTAACACCAAGGATGAATCTCAAAAACATTACACTAGTGAAAGAAGCTAGATACAAAAGACTACTTATGATAGAACTCTATATGAAATTTCTAGAAAAGGCAGGTATGGATGTGTAAAGCATGGTTGTCTAGGAGTGGGAGCTGTGATTGAACATATGGGCATAAGAGATAAAGGGAATTTTGGGGGTGGTGCGATGCATGTGTTCTACAACTGGATCCTGGTATTGGTTGCACAACTGTTTAAGTTTAAGGCCTTTTATTAAGTCTCCTAAAACACATCTAAGCCTACTAAGAGTGTTTCTATACTCCAAGGACTTACTGTGGTCTTGTTTGGCTTATAGGACTCTGTTGATGCTGGAGGCTCCTTCGAGCTCTCTTATTCTGATTCCTTGAGCTGAAAGAGAAAGACCCACCAAGCACATTTTAATACCTTTTTTTCTTCTCTCTGAAAGCTCTAACACCTTGGACTTGAGCTTCTTTGTGTCCTTAATCCTTATCTGAATTCCTCTTCCCCCTTTTGAAGATGGACCTAGGAGAAGCCTGATGTTAGAGTGAGATTAGGCAGGGTTATTTAACCAAATGGCCATAGTTATTTAACCTTTGTTCTCTCTCATCTTCCCCCGCCACCCCACTTTTTAATAGAAGTTTGTTTTCACTAAAGCTTCAGGCAGTTTTAGTGCCTTAAATATTCTTTGTTAACATAATGTTTTTAGAAAGCTGAGTGTCAGGAAGGCCCATTTTTAATTTATCAATGGCACCCTTACTCTTAATCTGCTGAAGGATACTTTACTTTTGAGGGCAGAATTAATCTTTTATCAGATGTACCATGGATGCTGTTGGTTTCACTATTTTAGGAAAATGTTCTTGGGTTGTTTCAGAATTAATGCTACCCACGTATGTTTATTTTCCAATATCTACTCAGAATAGATAAGGAAGATACAAAGTAAGAGTCACCCATATTAAATTTAATGCAAAGGAGATGCAAGTCACTGCTGTTTGAAAAACTAACAGTGGTGTTTAACTTGTTGATTTCATCTTGACTGTGAGGAAAGTGAATCTGAAATTAAGCCTATGATAGAGAATATTTGGACCTTCTTTAATAAGCTACAACTTTGTGGAACAGTGAAGAAAATGTTAGCACAATTATAAGAAGATAATTTTACACATGGAAAGTTTTTGGAGGTTGAGGGAGACAAAAAAGGAATTTCAGTCTGCCCTTTGTTTAAAGCAGGGCCATGTAGAAATGCCAAAAGCTGTCAGTGTAACTTCTTTCCAGCTCTGGGGCCTCAAGTTTTCACATCCCTAAGAGTCTCTTAGGGGCTTGTTAAAAATACAGATCCTTGGGCCACACCCCTGTTGGCTCTGAGATTTTACTAAACTCCTCAGGGGATTCTAATATGTATTACATTAGGTAAGGTTCTTCAGAGAATCGGAATTAGTATGAGGTGTGTGTGTGTGTGTGTGTGTGTGTGTGTGTGTGTGTGTGTGTTTGTAAAAGAGATTATTGTAAGGAATTGGCTCATATAACTATGGAGGCTGAGAAGTCCCCAAATCGGCAATCTGGAGAACAAGGAAAGCTGATGGTGTACTTCTAGTCTGAGTGTGAATGCATAGGAACCAGGAGAGCCGATGATATAAGTTTGAGTCTAAAGGTAGGAAACTGGTGTCTCAACTTGAAGACAAGGCAGAGAGAGAGAAAGGGAGAGAGAGCGAGCAAATTTTCCTTCACTCAACCTTTTTGTTCCATTCAGACCTTCAACAGATTGGATGTGACTACGGTTGAGTGGTCACCTTGGGGAGAGCAATCTGCTTTACACAGTCTACTGTTTTAAATGTTAATCTCATCCAGAAACACCCTCAGAGATACCCAGAATAATGTTTAATCAGATATCTTGGTGCCTCATTGTGTAGTCAGGGGGACACATAAAATTAACCATCACACCATCCAAATCTGAGGAATTTGAAGCAGTGAGCGGCAAAACCAGATTTCTTGGAAGAAACACTTGTAGGGAGAAACCTTATAAAGAGACCATTGTTGCACTTTAGGAAGCAATTGTACAATTTCAGTTATAAAAGATGTCCAGACTAGGCAAATTCATAGTGACAGAAAATTGCCAGGGGCTGGAGGCTGGAGTTGGAATAGGGGAGTGACTGCTAATGGGCATGAGGTTTCTTCTTGGGGTAAAGAACATGTTCTGGAATGAGATATTGGTGATGGTTGTACAACTTGTGAATATGCTAAAAACCACTGAACTGTTCCTTTTGAAGGGGTGAATTTTGTAGTTTGTGAAGTGTATGTCAATAAAATATGTACATATCTTTTGAGAGAGATGCGAAGAAGTGGAGGTAGATAGTGTTGACATCTCTGAGACATTTTCTGTGAAGAAGTAAACAAACGTGGGGTGATAGAAAGGGATTATGGGGTTGAGGGAGGATTTAAAAGAAAAACCACAGGACATATTGCAGCATGTCTGTATATGGATTCAAATGATCCATTGGAAAGGGAAATATTAATGATGCAAGGTAAGGCAGAGGGAATTTGCCATAGCCAAATCCTTAAATTCACTCACTGTAATGCCATCTTGACTTTCTTCATGTCTCTTCCCTAGGTGACAGATCAGTCGGTGAAAGCATTTGCTGAGCACTGTCCTGAACTTCAGTACGTTGGCTTCATGGGTTGTTCAGTTACTTCTAAAGGAGTCATTCATCTAACCAAGGTAGGAACCGTGGCTACGCCTCCTTAGTTTTCCAAGTATCATTCACATCAGTGCCCTAGCAATGTTATACGTACTTGAATGAGGACTACTCAGACCATTATAGAAGTGTGAGTAGTGTTTGGTAAAATTAAAAACAGTTTAAGGCAACAATACAAAATCTATCCTTTCTGAAATGGTACATTCATTTAAACAAGAAACTTTTTTGCTTTTTCATTTGCTAATGACTATGAAATGTATACATTAAAGAAACTGATATATATGACAAAACATATTGAGATGTTAATGTATTGTGTTAGAAGATATTTTGATGAAAGTGTTCACTGGTCACATATCATTAGATCTTCTGAGCATTTGGCTTTTAAGAAGTGAATATGGTCAGTGCATATGATTAAGTTGAGTATGTAACGTGAAAAGAGAAGCAAATGTATGTCAAAAATTAACTTTATAGTTCAGAGAGTTTACTTATATACCAAATATATGAAATCTCATATTTTAGCAATAATGAAAATACCAGTTCCTTTGTAATCTCTCCCTTTCAGTGTGTCATCTCTGCTGTTTTTCAGAGTTCTAAAATAATTAGGAGCTAATTCTTATATATATGCTTTAGAAAACTGACTACTATAAAATTTACTTGTGTATTATCTGAAATTTGTCAGGTCTCTTCAAGCTTACAGTTTAGGGGGATATAATGTTTTTCTTTCTTCCTAGGAAAAGAGCAAATGTTTACGAGTTACCTAGAACTATGGCAATAAGGCCCAATGGATAGGAGTCTGGGCTCTGTTGTCAGCTTGTGTTTGAATCTTGGCTCTGCCATTTATTACCTAAGTGAGCAAATTATTTTTCAGGGAATTATTTGAAGTAATATATGCAAGATGCTTGCCTCAGTTTCGAAACCACAGTAAGTGCTAAGTAAACTTTAGCTACTATTATTAAAATAGGTGCTACAATATCTAAATTGCTGGAAAATCAGAGCAAACTTTGAAAAAAAAAATCAAATCACTGTTCTAGTCTAGTGTATCTGAAACAGAACCTGTGGTTGTTCTGTGTCTTAAATGACTGATCAGCTTTAACTATATTTTGAGGATCAGAACCTAAAGCCAGCAGAGAGGATAGGCACGTTATTCTCTCTTATTGCTCTATCAAAACATCTCAGTGTAACCAAGACCATATGTAACCATAATTTTTTATTCATTTTCTATAACCTTGGCCTGAACATTTTGATAGATGAATATTTTTCTAGTCACATCTAATGCTGTTTATGGTGTGGAGTAGAAATGCCTTTGGATGAACAGATTGTGCACAACAAGGGTTATAATGACCGTATGTGGGCTTTTTACGATCACTTGAAATTGTACTCATTAAAGACAAAGCAAGACTTATTAGATCAGTAAGTGCTTCCCTGAGCATTTTGAGATGGCCAAAAATTATTGTACACTGGTACTTAAAAGATCAGAATTATTTTCTGTGACAAAATAGCAACGATAGCAAATGTCAGCTTTGGAAAACTTAATTTGCTGAGAAGATTATTCTGAAGATTATATACCAGGATTGGTGTTTTGGCCTGCTAGCAGTCAGAATCTACTGGATTCATATCAAAGCTGGTCCACAGCGTTTTAGGAGCATCTTTCTTGCTCAGCACAGTATTTGTTTTGATGAGAAGACTGGTTTGTGGCATAATATTGCTTAGTTTCATGGATTCAAGTAAAGGCAAGATAGCATTTTAAACATGCTTAACTTTTGCAAAGCTATTTTAGTTATCCTATCTCTTAAAAGCCAAGAGTAGAACTCAAGTTTTAATAAAATAAAAGCTTTTTTGTTAAAATATTTGCATTCTGATAGTGTTTTTCTACTAAGACATTATACAAAATGCAATTTACATTCACCAAATGTTTGTAAATATATAAATGTTCCTAGAAAGTTGTGTTACCCTTATTATAATCATGGTATATAGCTCTAAATAATTTATTATCAACATGGTATGTAATTCTTAAATAAATGATTAGGGAGATATGAGATACAGAGTGTTGAGAGTTACTGGTATAAATACATTTAATTTTATATGATTTAGAAAATCTCTCCAAGTTATTACTTTACTAAGTCTCTGGCTCTAAGTTTGCTACTTTCTAGAAGCAGGTGCCATAAAATCCCTGTGCCTTAGTTTCCTCCTATGAAGAGATGTGCCTGTATTAGGTGATCTATCTCTAGAGTTTCTTACAGCCAAACAAATCTCTGAATTTGAGTCATTGGCCTGGACGGGACTGTGAGTGGCTGTCACTGAAACTAAGGAATGTCAAGTCTTTAGTAAGTTAGAAGGGAAAACTGGGGATTTGTGACATCTTAGATTGTTAAATCAAGGGCAAGAAGACAGAAGATTGGGAATAAATGGAAGAATATTGATATTCTATTACTGTGGTCTCGTGGACTTAATTTTACTTTGATGCTCTCAGTCTTGCCTGGCCTCTATTTATTGATGACACACCCTTAGTATTGATGACACACCCTTAGTCTTCAGATAGATTCTGCTAATATCAAGCAATATTGAAGTAAGAGGCCTTCCTTCTAAGCTGCTGTTACTATGTAAATGAGAGTCCAGAAGTAGCCAAGACTGAATGCCCACAGGTTGAGAAGATAAAGTCAGCTTTACCAGAGTGGGTTTGGAAGCAATGATAAGAACTTTTGAGGTCTCTAACAGTTGAGAACGTTAATGACTTGTATCCGGCAGAATTGAGCTTCCTCCAATACAGGTGTGTTCTTTTCACTGCTGTGTACCTACTTATAAATGTAAAATATTTCTATCTTGCACTTTTGCTCTCCTTCCCACTTTTCAAAAACAAGTTCAGCAAATGCAAATGTATAGTTAACCCCTAGTGACTAGACTGTAGTGCCTAAATATCATTTGCCACATTAAGGACTAATAGGAACATGTCAAAGGACCCAAAAGCCAACATGAGGTGCCTCTCACTGGCCTAAGCTGGGATACGTTGAGCATCAAAAAGGAAAATGGCTGAAATGGATTAAAACAGATGTATAAAAATAATAAGTTTACAATGATCTATAAAAAAAACAAAACAGAACTGGATTTCTTCTTCCAGTTAAGATGGAGTAGAGGGGACCAGATTTACTCTCTTCCCTGAAACAACCTAGAAAAACTGACAAAATATATGAAACAATGGTCTTTAAGACACTGGATATCAGACAACCAAGGACAGTGATCCCTGAGATCTAAGAAACAAACAAGAGAAGCCCTATGCTTGCCTTCGTCTAGTATGTTGGAAGAGTTTCCAGCTTGTAGCACAGAGAGGGATAATCCAGGCAAAACTCAGCAGACTATCTGAGTTGAGACAGAACCGAAAATCCTGGTCTCCAGGATAGCCAGAATTCAGAGGACAGAGTACCAGAGTGGAGAGAACTTGCATAGAAAACCCCAGAGATTGGAGTATGCTCTCCCTTCCTTGCTCATCCAGTCCTAAATAACCCATGAGTAAAGAAGAAATCAAAAGAGAAATAAGAAAATATTTTGAACTGAATGAGAATGAAAACACAACACATCAGGTTTAGTGTGATGCTACTAAAGTATTTACTTTAAATACCACCAAACACCTGTATAAAAAAAAAAAGGTCTCTAATCAAGGACCTTAGCTTCTGCCTTATGCAACTTGAAAAAAGAAAAGCAAATTAAACTCAAAGTAAGCAGAGGAAAGGAAATTATAAAGATCAAAGTGGATATCAATGTAATGGAAAACAAAAAAAAGAAAATTAATGAAAGCAAAAGCTGGTTCTTTGATAAACTCGATAAATCTCTATTCAGACTACTTAAGAGAGAGAGAGAAATTGCCAATACCATGACTCAGAGGAGTAACATAGCTACAGATTCTCCAGATATTAAAAGGATAACAAGCGAATATTATGGACATCTTTATGCCTCTAAATTCAACAAGTTAGATGAAATGGAAAATTTATTTGAAAGATGCAAACTTCCAAAGCTCACTGAAGAAGAAATAGGTAACTTGAATACCTCTATATCTCTTAAAGAAATTATGTCTGTTGTTAAAAACCTTCCCTCCAGTGATACTCTGTGCCTAGATTGCTTCACTGGCGAATTCTACAAAATATCTGATACATTTTAAAAACTTTATCAGTAAGAGATACATACTTGAGTATTTACTAGTGAAATGACACAATGTTAGGGATTTGCATTAAAATATTACAAAGGGATAAAAAGAAAAAAAGTGGATAGGCCACTAAAGGAGACAAAAATGGCAAAATATAGATAATTGAGCTGGGCTGTAGGACATGGTGGTTCATTATATTATTCTCATTACTTATATTTGAAAATTTCCATAATAATAAAAAAGCTTTTAAGGGGTTAAAAAGTTAAAAATGTTGCTATTAATACAACATGATAAAATCATACTATTCAATAGCATGCTTTTTGAGAATGCATAATACCATGGAAAATGCTCAGGATAATAATTAATAATCATATACATTAATATATAATATTAATTTAAAATCAGTTGAACAGATAAGCCAATGGAATCTGAAATGTCAAAGAGACACATTATTTTTATGTATAGTTGGAGTGCAAACCTCAGAAATGCTGTGGGTTCATGAGTTTAATGCCACAGATCCATTGTGAATTGACTTAGATCAGTTCAAATGATTTCTACCAGTAATCAGGAAAATGCTATTTTATATGATATTAAGGATGATGGTGAAGAATTTTTGACAAAATGTTCATTTTCATTATATGCTATATAAAAATTTATATTTGTCATAACTTAAAATTGTTGATAAATTTAAAAGTTGTGTTTATTAATTAATGATATTAATTCTGATGATATCTTAATTAATGATATTAATTCTGATGATACCTTAGAACTTATTGTTGCTTCAGTTTATAAACATGAACTGAATTCTTAGGATGTGTCATATATGGGTATGTTTGTTTTTGTTTTTAAATTAGAGGGTTTTTTTTTGGAAGGTAACAGCTGAAAAAA